CCTGATTGCGTACTTCCGGTTCCAAGTAAGGGGTGGGGTTGGCCGGTCAGTTCGTAACTCTAGTGCAGTTCTTGGCCCCATGCATTTTTTGTCAGTGACTTGGGAGAAAACTCAAATCGTCACTGATAAAGTTTGCGGATGACCCACAGATTGGGGGAGTGGTAAATAGTGAAGAGGGCAGGGCAGAGCACTGACCCAGGGTGATCTGGATCGCTTAGTAAGTTGGGTGCAAACAAACAATGTGCATCTTGACACTGCTAAATGTAAACACACAGGTCCAAGAGCAAAGAATGCAGACCACCCTTACAGGCTGGGGGCTCTATCCTGGAAAGCAGCGACTCAGGAGAAGAGTTGCAGGTGGTGATGGATAATCAGCTGAACACGAGATCCCAGTGTGTTGCTGTGGCCAAAAGGGCTAATGCGATCCTTGCGTGCATAACCAGGGGAATCTCGAGTAGGAGCAGAGAGGTTCTTTTACCTCTTTCTTTGGCACTGTGCGACCGTTGCTGGAATCCTGTGTCCAGTTCTGGTGCCAACCATTCAAGAAGGATGTTGATAAATTGGAGAGGGTTCAGAGAAGAGCCACAAAGAGGGTTAAAGGATTACAAAACCTGCCTTACGGTGATTGATCTCCTAGAGTTTATCTGTTTACCTTAACACAGAGAAAGTTAGGGATGATTTGATCAGTTTATAACTGCCTAACATGGCAAACAAGTCTTTGATAATGGGTTCTTCAAGCTAGCAGACAAATATATAGCACAATCCAATGGCTGGAAGTTGAAGTTAGACAAACAGAGGCTGGAAATAACCTGAACATTTTTGTACCATGAGGCTAATTAACCATTTGGGACAATTTCCCAAGGGTTGTGGTGGATTTTCCATCACTGGCAGGTTTTCAATTGTGCTGGGCTATTTCTCTGCAAGGTCCACTCTGATTCAAACAGGAAGGAATTCAGGAAGTCCTATGTCCTGTGTTACCCAGGAAGTCAGACAAGATGTTCACAGAATCACGTTTGGTTTTAGAATATCTGAACCTATGTAAAACCACATTTGGAGTTCAGTTGTTAGTAAGGCTTTCACTACGGGTGCTGCGTAATGGAAGCTAGGTGAGGCTAAGCCTCCCAAACCTTGCACAGCCCTGCGGAAGTGGGGGAGTGGCAGATTACCTTACAGGGCTTGTGCCCCAATTTGGGGCCCCTGGAAAAATCTCCCCCACCACAGTCCTGGGGCTGGAGGAGCTGTTGCTCCCAGCCCCGGAGCTTTTCCAGTCTCGGGGTGCTGGGGGGAAAGGGAAGGGGTGGGGAGTGGGGGCGGAACAGGGTCGGGGCTGTAGGAGAAGGGGCGAAACAGGGGGAGGGGTTCCAGGCTTAGAGCTCTGGCCAGGGAGAAGGGAGAAAGACCTGAGTGGATCAGGCAATCACAGGATGATTGTGAGCCACCGATGAGATGCAGCAGTGGGTTTTTTTAAGCAGCTTTGATTCTTGGATGCATCAGGCAAGGTATGTCCAGTCGAGACAGGGAGGTAGGAATGCCGTTGCACAAGGCGCTGGTAAGACCTCCGCTGGAATGCTTTGTGCAGTTCTGGTCACTTGTGCTCAAGAAAGAGGGATCCAAAGTGGAACAGGTGCAGTGAAGGGCAGCTAGGCTAATCTCTGATTGGAGGGGTGGTCTCTGGAGAGGAGACTGGCTTGTTTAGCCCAGCACAACAAAGGCTCACAGGATCCAATTGCCCTAGAAATACGTCAGGGTAAATGCCAGGGAGGGAGAAGAGCTAGTGAAGTTAAAGGACAGTGTTGGCACAAGAACAAATGGGGACGAACTGGCTGGGAGTAAATTGAGGCAGGAAATGAGAAGCAGGTTTCTAACCTTGGAGGAGGGAGGTCCTGGACCAGCCTCCCAAGAGGAGCAGTGGGCGCAAACGAGCTCACTAGCTTAAAGACAGAGCGTGGTGAGTTTTGTGATGGGAATGATGTGATGGGGTGACGGCTGGCAGCAGGGGACTGGAATCGAAGACCCAGGAGGTCCATTCCGGCCCTTGTGTGATGGCTGCTGAAAGGTGGGACCCAGAGTGACTTAAAGGGACCTGATTCAGGATGTGAGCCTGGGACGTCAGACGTGTCCTTCATCCCCCCACAATGGGCTGGCTCAGGCTGGTCACTGGGAGACTTGGCCCCGACACAGCTCCGGTTTCATCCTCCCATGCCTGTGGGCTTCGCTTGGACCCGTGGAGAGATTTGTGAGCTGAAAAGCAGCCCAGCTTGCACATGCACTAATGGGCTCAGGCACCCGGTGAGCACTCATGCATGCTAGCAAGCAGGGGTGCAGGGGTGCAGGGGTGCAGGGGAGTGCTTATGTTCTCTAGACTGGGCATGGGTGCACCAGTGAGTGCTCAATTGCAGTAGTGGGCCGGGCGCACTGGTGCGGGCGCACTGGTGAGCGCTGTGCACGCTGATGCTGTGTGGGTGCAGTGCACGGGTGCACTGGTAAGCGCTCGTGCATGCTAGTGAGCACAGGTGAGCGTGCACATGCTAAAAACAGGATAGTACAAGACTCCCTTTACAAATGCTCCCTTCCCATCAGGGTTTAGGGGCACCCCATTCTCCCCAGTACCTTTGTTTCCTGCAGCCCTTAGCACCGGGGCTGCTGCACTAGACATTTAAGGAGCGGCTGTGCAGCCAAGGTCAGGTCGTGCCTCAGCCTCGGTCCATCTGCCCAGCTCAGGGGAAGGGAATGGGTAAGGAAGCGTGCTGCAGCAAAAGGTCCATGGTGGGCCAGGCAGAAGGGACAGGGCAGCCTCTACCTCCTGCGACAGGAGCTCCCCTTCTCAGGGACCCTAAATCCCGTCTCCCCCCCAGCGCTAAGGGCCCCAGCTGAGCTCAGTCGGCCTTAGCAGCAAGATCAGGCCATGACGGGGGTGCAGACAGCTGTGTCATGGCAGCTGTTGGCTCAAAGCACTGGCCAGCAGCCACAGCGGGCCTGGACGGTCCAGCCTGCCTGCCCCAGGGGCGGCGATGGGGGCAGAGGCCACTGCGGCTGCCCACCCAGGTTGTTGCATTCAATTTCCATTGTTTGAAAGGGATAGAAAATGGCTCCCATGCTGGGTCCTGCTGAGCTTCCCAGCTAGCCGGGCCCCTGCCCTACAGCTCTCATCAGAACAGCTCCCTGCTCCTGACGGGGCTGGTGGGAGGCAGCCGTGTGAGGCCTGGCCTAGGACACAGGAGACCTGGGTTCTCTTCCCAGTTCTGCCCTGGCAGGGGGACCTCGGCGAGACCCTTGCCTCGCGGTGACTCAGTTTCCCCATCTGTAAGATGTGGTGAGTGATACTGACCTCCTTTGTGAAAGGCTTTGAGCTCTCCTGCTGCACTAGGTAAGGACTGGCTGTCACTGTTCATTGGTGGAAACCGGCCTGGCTGGGCAGCCGAGGCGCAGCTTGAGACCCTAGGGGTGGGTTTCCTGCGTTCCCAGACCAGGCCCCTTTGCTGCTGTTGCACCATTGCCATGCGGTGCGTGCCTGCCACGCTGCCCCCTGCATGTACAGGAGACCGAGGCTTGCCCGGGGGGCTGGGCCAGAAACCCTTCTGTTGCTGGCATGTCCTGGATTAGCCTGCTGGCGCTTTCCTGCTCTGCTGGGGCTCGGCGTCCCGTGTGCGGGGTGGCTGAGGGGTGAAGCATCTGCCGGGGCCTGGACCCACAGCTGCTTGACTTGCACAACTGGTTTGGGCGGCACTGTTGTGAGCTTGTTGGGTGGTTTTTTTTTTTTTTTTTATGGTACGTTTCATGAATTTGCGTGTCATCCTTGTCGGGTGGCTCTTCGGCAGGGAGGAGCCCCAGGTGCCAGAGAACTGGGCTGGTGGGGGCCATTGGATCCCGCCTCCGCAGGGCTGGGGTGCGGGTGCTGTTCTCTTGCGTGGGGAGAAGGCGGCAGGCGCAGGGAGGCTGTCTAGCCCGTAGGCGTAGAGGGGCTAGGGTAGGCGGCGGGGGGTGCAGGGAAGGCAGCAGCCCCATGGGGAATGGGAGGAGGGCCTGGGCTGAGTGCTGCGGGCCTGGCCAGCCGCTTCCTGGGGTGCTGGGTGCTGCATGGGCAGTACCAGCCCCTCCCCTCCGGAGCTGGCCCAGGCTGGGGAAGGGACAGGGCGAGGCAGCCCCTGGGCTGGCTCTGACGTTGGGTGGGGCTTAACGAGGGGGGGTAGCCGAACAGGGGGCAGGGCGGCTGGACAGAGCCTGAGGTGAACAGACTGGCGGGGCTGGAGGGAATGGCCAGTCAGCGAGCGGGAGAAAGTCCTGCCCACAGTCCTGCTGACGCAGCTCTGGCTGCATCTTCCCTCCCGGGCCACCCCCACCTGCCTCTTCCCCTGGGCCAATCCCCCCACCTGCCTCTTCCCCCACCGTTGCGTCCCTTCACCTCTGCCATCACGGCTCCGGGTGTGTTCCCCCGCCACCCGGGGTCACCAGCTGTCCCGATTTTGTGGGACAGTGGCAGTATTCGGGGCTTTGTCTCATATCAGCATCTCTTGCCCCGTCCCTGCAGCTCACACCTGCCGTCTGGTCGCCCTGCCCACGGCTCCCACTGGTTTTCCTGCCCAGCGCTGCCATCCCTGCTGTGGCTGTTCTCTGCCTGTTCCTGCCCCCTTCGCTTTCTCCCGGCTCCTCCCTGGAATTTCCTTCTCCCTCCAGCCCATGAGGCTGGGGAAAGGGGGTGCTGCATGGTCCTAGTGCCTCTGGAGGTCACCCCTGCTCAGTTCTGGTCTATGGGGTGCTCCCAGTGCAGACCCGGGACCTCACGGAGGCTGCCTCGGTGGCTGCTGCCCCCAGTCACTGCCCTGTGCTGCCCCCTCCATCAGCGAGCGGCCTCTCTGACCCTGGGCGTTGCAGTTCCCTCCCCTCCATGTGTGGGGTGGGAGCCCACGGCATCCCTGCGGGCAGGGCAGGGTAGGGACTCTGGGAGCTGAGGACTCCTTTCCCCAGCCAGGGGCTGACGGTCTCTTGTCTCTTTTCTGCAGATTCGTTTGTGAACAGCCAGGAATGGACCCTGAGCCGCCGGTGCCTGAGCTCAAAGTGGTGAGTGCTTGGCCCAGCCTGCAGAGCCCCTCGGAGGGCTTGTGGCTGGGTGGGTGCATGTTTGTGAGCAGTGGGAGGGAGACCCCCATGCTCTGCGGGAGGTGGGGCAGGGCTGCCATGTGCATGTCCCCTTGGATGGTGTCGTGGGTGCAGGGGCTGGGCGCTCTGGAACCCTGGGAATGAAGCCAGAGGGGGCCTCTGGCTGTGGGACCGCCCCCCGGGGCGCGTCTCACCAGGGCAAGCCCCCTCCTCCTGGGTCTCACCTCGGAGCATTCAGCCCCCTGTTCACACCAAGAGTGCCCCGCAGCGAGTAGGGGACACCTGGGGAGCCTCACACGCCCCCAAAGGGCCCTGCCAGCACTGGCTCCCAGCCAGCGTGGGACACAGACGGGTTATTAGTCGTGGGGAGCCCAGCATAGAACAAAGCTTGTCAGCACAGGGAGCAGGAACGTTCAGCCAGGTCCATCTTGGGGGAGGGGATCCGGAGCCCTGGGCTCTCCCCCTGAGTCCCAAACCAGGAGACTGACCAGCTTCCAGCCACCCGGCCTCAGGCACACCCAGCTGCCTCTACTCCAGCCTTTGTGTCTTTCCCGGGCAAACTGGTCACCTGGTCTCCACCTCTCTCTTTGTTCTCTGACTCATGGCAAGGGGGCCCCGTCCATCAGTTGCCAGGATACAGAGTGTTGGCCCTGGGGTTCTCTGGCAGTCACGCCTGCCCTCTAGGGAGTCTCTGCAGTGATCACACACCCTTATCCCACCACCCACAGACTTGTGTAACACACAAGGTAAACTGAGGCATGCACAGTATTCATACAAAACATTAAGAAAACTCCCATTTTGTCACAGACAGGAAAGGCTGCTGGGCTGGGGTTGGGTCCTTAGACGTGAAAGCCCCAGGGACCGTTCTGCCCATCCCATACAGCCTCCTGCAGAGCCCAGGGTCTCCTTCAGCCCTGCCCAGCCCATCTGCGGGAGGTAAAGCAGGTGTGTTAGAGAGACTCCCAGTCTGGATTCACCCTGCGAGATGGAGTCTCTGTCCCCCTTTGCCCCGGTCAGCTGTTCCATTGTTTGTCTCCACTCAGCCCCCATCTGTTCCTGGTGCCCTGTGACGTGGTGATAGGTGAGGCTCCTGCAGTGCCTGGGGGAAACCAAGCTCCTCTCCCCTCCCCTCTGCCTTACTGTTGGCTTCTCCATCTCCCACCCCCATGTGCAGCCTCGCACTGTTCAGGGCCCTCACGTGTGTGGCCCTGGGCATGGCAGCAGTGTCAAGGTACCTGGATTTCCCTCCCGCTGATGGTGTATCTAACACCTGGCCTTAGGATTCGGGACCTGGCCTGGGAGTTGTGGGGGACAGATTCAATTCTGGACTCTGCCACAGACTCTCTGGTGTGACCTTGGGCAGGTCTTTTTGTTCCTGTGAGCCTGAGCCCCATCCGTTCGAGCCTTTTCTGTACACTTCGCTGGGTGTGCAGCATGGCCAGGCTGTGCTCAGAACGGGAGCCAGCTCTCCCTGTGCATTGCACCGGCAAAGAGCTTCTGGCATGGCTAGGTCCTGCCCAGTCTCCCAGGGGCCCTCAGTGGCTGCCCTTTCACCAGCACCGCACCTGGCTGGCGCTGGAGTTGCGTCTGACAGCGACACCTCCGCATGCCTGGGAAGTGTTCTCTGTCTGCATAGAACTTCAGGGATTTTAAGTCTGGAAAACCTGCCCTGTAGTGAGAGACTGGAGAAACTCATTCTGCTTAGCTTAGCAAAGAGGATCACAGCCCAGAAGTGCCTAAGTGGGGAGGAGATTTGATCTCCCAGACGGAGGCAGAACACGAGCCAGTGGCTGGAAGTTGATGTCGGCAAAGTTCAAATGGGAAATAAGCAATTTTTTCCCAGCAAGGATAACTCCCCATTGGAACAGCTGGCTGTCACGGAGTCCCTGGGCGATGCTCTGGAATTGCTCCCTACGAAGCCAGTCAGGACTCTGGGGAAGTCTCCTTTCTGTGAGCAGCCTGTCTGCAGGACACACAGCTCACCCGGCTTCCCCCTTCCTGGGTCTGACCTCGGAGCCTTCAGCCTCCTCTGCCCCTCCGTGCGCTTCCCACAGCGAGTCCGCCCAGGTGGGGTCCTGGGGAAGCCAGAGGGTCCTGCCCCCCAACTCCGCCGTCACACGGGACTCTCAGCCAGCCAGTAAAACGGAAGGTTTATTAGATGACAGGAACATGGTCTAACACAGAGCTTGTAGGTGCAGAGAACAGGACCCCTCAGCCGGGTCCATTCTGGGGGCAGTGAGCCAGACAACCACGTCTGCACGTCACTCCTCGTCCCCAGCCAGCCCCAAACTCAAACTCTCTCCAGCCCCTCCTCCTCTGGGCTTTGTCCCTTTCCCGGGCCAGGAGGTCACCTGATTCCTTTGTTCTCCAACCCTTTAGCTCACCTTGCAGGGGGAAAGGGCCAGGCCATCAGTTGCCAGGAAACAGGGTGTCGGCCATTCTCTGTGTCCAGACCCCTGCACACACCTGCCCTCTAGGGCTCTGCATCGATCATACACCCTTACTCCACCACCTAGATACTTAAGAGCTGCCTAGGGGAAACTGAGGCACCCCCACACTATTCAGAGGAAACATTAAGAACAGTCCCACTTCGTCACACTGGCCTGGGCATGGGATGGGTGTGACGGGTTCCTCCCGGGGCACCACCTGGAACTGGGGTACCGCTGAGCCCCCTGACGCACCAGCCTGGGCTCTCTTTCACACTGTACTGCTGTGAGAAACGACAAAGCCCTCCAGCCTGCATGTTCACCAGCACACATACAGGTAGGGACACCCCAGCTGCAGTTATATGCAGGCTCTCTGACCAGCCCGTGCATAGGAAGGCTACAGTTAAGGCAAGTCCCAGCTCCCCAGGCACTCACCCCCTCTGGAGTATAAACCCAGAATTATAATGTCTTGCACTGCACAGGGAACTGTACAGTGAAAGCTCATAACATTCGCCCCCCCTCAGTGTGGAGAGGAATATGCAACAGCCGTCTGCCCCTGTGTAATGATTCCCACACACTGGTTTAGATAAAGCAAAAAAACAAGTTTATTAACTACAAAAGATAGATTTTAAGTGAGTATAAGGGGTAGCAAACAGATCAAAGCAGATTACCAAGTGTGACGAAGTGGGAATGTTGTTAATGTTTTCTCTGAACACTGTGTGGGTGCCTCAGTTTCCCCTATGCAGATCTTAAGTATCTAGGTGGTGGGATCAGGGGGTGTGATTGTGGCAGAGCTCTAGGGGGCCAGTGGGATTCTGCACAGAGAATGGCCGACACCCTGTCTCCTGGCAACTGATGGCCTGGGCCCCTCCTCTGCAAGGTGCCAACTGAAGGGGTTGGAGAACAGAGAGATCAGGTGGCCTCCTGGCCCAGGAAAGAGACAAAGGTGAGAGGAGGGGCTGGAGAGTTTCAGTTTTGGAGCTGGCTGGGGAAATGGAGGGAGGCTCAGATGGGGCTCTGACCTCCCTGCCCCCAAGACGGGCCTGACTGAGGGGTCCTGTTCTCTGTACCTACAAGCTCTGTTTTGGACCATGTTCCTGTCGTCTAATAAACCTTCAGTGTTACTGGCTGGCTGGAGAGTCATGTCTGACTGCGGAGGTGGGGGACAGGACCCTCTGGCTTCCCCAGGATCCCCGCCTGTGCGGACTCACGGTGGGAAGTGCACGGTGTGGACGGGGATGCTGAATGCTCTGAGGTCAGCCCCAGGAAGGTGGAAGTTGTGCAAGCTTCTTGCCCTGGGGAGAGGAGGCATCTCCAGAGTCCTGACTAGCCCCGTAGGAGAAGTTCCAGAGCATCGCCCAGGGACTCCGTGACAACTGGTGGCACAGGTGGGATGCATTGCACCCCGTGAATGGTGCTTCTTGCAGTAAGTGATTGGGGAGCAGTAAAACGAAGGGGGAGTAACGAGGACCAGGTGTGCTGAAGGCTCAGAGAGGGGCTGTTTCAGGGGGTGAAGGAGCTACGCTTAACCCCTGGGAGAGTGTGACCAGCAAAAAGGACTATTGCAGTGATGGGTTCCGCTTGGAGACTGCGGTGAGCTGTTCCAGGGACGAAGGAGTCTGCCGCTCGACCCTGGCAAAGAGTTGTTGACCTCGAGAAGGGCTGGCACCCTAGGGGTTCTCCCTGGAAACCGTGGGAAGCTGAGAGCATACAGGCCTGTGAGTCCACAACACCTTGGGAAGAGCGGAGTGATGGCCTGTCACCGTCTCCTTAAGAAGGACATTGTAACCCTGTGCAAGAAGAGAGGGTTGTGCATTGGAAAGTTCACCAAAGCACAGTTAATCGTGCAGCTGGAGGAGGATGACCGCTCTAAGGAGCAGACTCCTGACCCCAAATGGGGCTATAGCAGGATCTGGGAGCAGCTGGAGTGGGAGCCAGGCATCGCCAAGACTCCTGTCCCCGACCAGACAGGTCTTCAGGATGGGGTTCCCCATCTGGGGATCGGAGATGGATGGAGCTGAGTGCGAGAGAGCAAGAGGACTGTGAGAGACAGCGAGAGCCCGAGAAAGAGCTGCAGAAGCATCAGCAGCATGAACTGGCGGTGGGGGAGCAGAGAGGCCAGGGGACCTCCCCTGGGGTGAGTGGGGATAGACCCTGGGGGCCAGTTCCGCAGGGAACCTCGAGACTAAATTGCTGCCCCTGGTTAAGGAGGGGTGGCATGTGGATGCCACCTCACTGCCTTTGAGCAGGCTGGAGATTTGAACCAGGGGCACCCTGCGGAAAAGCCCCGGTGTCTAGCTCCCTTGCTGGGTCCCAAGGCCATAGACTCCGTCAGCCAGATGGGTGGGGAGGTGGACAGGCTCCCACTCCTGACGCCAACCTATATGTCTGTGTGGAGTCTCCTGGGCTCAGGCCCCTCGGACCCCAGTGGGAGCGGGAGGTGATGGTCAATGGGGAGACATTCCTGGGGTGGTGAGACCCTGGGACAGAGTGAACTGTTGTCAGACCCCAGGTGGTGCAACCCCACCATATGCTGGGGGGCTGTGTGACCTGGGTGAAGGTCCCAGGGATGAAGCCCCTCGCCCTGCCTATGGCCCGGATCCCTGTGCAGACCCAGGAGGGGTCGGGCTGGCTGGTTGTTGGGGTTCTCCAGGATATCAGCTGCGAGTGCTGTTGGGGGACGACTATATCTCTTTGGGACAGGATCCAGGCCCTGCTCCTGTAATGGCTGAGGATTTGAATTTGAATCCAGGGAACCAATTTGCTAAGATGGAAATGGTCAGTGAAAATGCAAATGACCTGGCTGGCAGTGGGGAGGAGCTGCTAAGCTCAGGATACCCACCTGTCTGTAAGCAGCCCCCTGGGGCCGAGTGGGATGGAGAGATGCTCCCCACCCCCCTGCACACCAGAGAGGGGGCTCACGCTGGCTCTGATGCAGTGAGGAAAGCAGTGAGCTCGCTGCCTACCCCCACTGGGACAGCAAGGGCAGCGCTGAGCAAGGGGGGGTATAAGACCCCAGCTGAGGGGGGGGAGACACAGGCAGGGCAGGACGGCCGCCAACCAGTTTTGCCTGGTCCAGAGGAGCTGCTGTGAAGTGATCCCACTCAGGGAGCGAGCGATCAGGGACAGGGCTCAGCGGGGCTGTGACCCCAGGCCCAGCCCGTGAGAGGGAGCAGGTCCCACTCCCTCCCCCAGCAGCTGAATTCCAGACCGAGCTGCAGAAGGATCCCTCCTTGGAGGAGCTGAGGGAACGTGCTGGCCACAGGCTGCAAACCCCCGTGGGGAAGGCTGCAGGGACAGATCCCCGTGGGAGAAGGGATTCCTGGACCGGGAAGGGGCTCCCCCAGGGGAAGTAGAACTGTGGGGGATCAGGAGGCAGCTGGGGGTGCCCCAGAAGTGTTGCCACTGGCTGTCGTACCTGGCCCATGATGTCCCTCTCTCGGGTCACCACGGGATCCAGGCCCCAGCAGTGGCTGCTGCAGAACTGTGACTGGCCCGGAGTCTGGGACGCGGCCCAGCGGCACGGCAGGTCCTGTGACCCCTTGAGACCCCGGCCCATCACAGAGGAATCTTTCCAGAAGGTGGCCATGGACATATTGGGGCCCCTCAGCAAGGCGACCCGGTCAGGGAAGAAATACGTCCTGGGGGTGATGGATCTCGCCCCCGCTACCCAGGGGCGGGGGCTCTGTCCTCCACCGAGGCAGACACCAGGGCAGACGCACTGCTGACCATCTTCAGCAGAGGGGGGTCTCTAGTCCTGCCTTTCGACCTCAAGGGGGTGTCAGCCACCTCCCAGCGCTGGATGGATCGGCTATTGAGGGGGGTGGAGAACCTGAGCCTGGCATACGTTGAGGATATCTTAGCCAGGCCTGGGAGGAACACGTGTCCCAGGTGAAGAGGGGACTGGGTCGCCCCAAGGAGGCAGGACTGACGGTAAAAGCTGAAAGGTGTAAGGTGGGGATGGCAGAGGTGTCGTACCTGGGCCACAAGGTGGGGAGCGGCTGCCCAAGCCCAGAGCTGGCCAAGGTCAAGATGGGGGCTCTTAAGCAAAAGCCCGAATTGCAGCCCTCCAGACTGGAGCATTGGGAGAAATCCCAATCCCAGTTTGAATCCCAGGGGTATTGGGGTGGCAAAAGGGCCGCATAAACTTTCCTACATGCGGCCTGTGAGTGCCATCAAGCACACCCGACCTAAGGGAGGGTGTGAAACTGGAGGGGCCTGGTGTAACTCCCACCAAGGAATGGGAGAGATGCTGGGGCATCCATAGGAACGTTGGTGGGTTCGAACTTCCCCAGGTCACCGGCTAAAGTGACCTTGCTCAGTTCAGTCTCGAAGAGGGGAGAGATGTGACGAAGTGGGAATGTTCTTAATGTTTCCTCTGAATACTGTGTGAGTGCCTCAGTTTCCCCTATATAGTTCTTAAGTCTCAAGGTGGGGGCCTCAAGGGGTGTGATTGTTGCAGAGCCCTAGGGGGCCAGTGTGATTCTGCACAGAGAATGGCCGACACCCTGTCTCCTGGCAACTGATGGCCTGGGCCCCTCCTCTGCAAGATGCCAACTAAGATGTTGGAGAACAAGAGATCAGGTGGCCTCCTGGCCCAGGAAAGAGATAAAGGAGAGGAGGGGCTGGAGAGTTTCAGTTTTGGAGCTGGCTGGGGAAATGGAGGGAGGCCCAGATCCGGGCTCTGGCCTCCCTGCCCCGCAAAACAGACCTGACTGAGGTGTCCTGTTCTCTGTACCTACAAGCTCTGTGTTTAGACCATGTTCCTGTCGTCTAATAAACCTTCTATTTTACTGGCTGGCTGAGAATCACGCCTGACTGCGGAGTTGGGGGGCAGGACCCTCTGGCTTCCCCAAGACCCTGCCTGGGCGGACTCGCGGTGGGAAGTGCATGGTGTGGACATGGATGCTGAATGCTCCGAGGTCAGCCCCAGGAAGGTGGAAGTTGTGTAAGCTTCTTGCCCTGGGGAGAGGAAGCGTCCCCAGAGTCCTGACTGGCTTCGTAGGGAGCAGTTCCAGAGCATTGCCCAGGGTCTCCGTGATGTCTAGCAAAGCAGATAACCTAACATAATAAAAAAAAAAAACACAAACTAAGCTTAATGTGCTTAATGTCATACCCCGTCCTGCAGAGTTACCCTGAGCCAGATTTATCAGGTCATCCGTTCTTCCAAGTGTGAGGCCTGTTTGGGCTCACAGTGGGTGGGGAGGGACGATGTGGAGCAGCACCTTGATGCTGTATTTATCCGTCCACACACACACCTGTCAGGAAAGAACGTGACCAAGTTTACCAAGTTGAGCACTTGGGAGTTCGGAAATGCCAGAAATGAGCCTTCCCTCGTCCTTGGGAGGTCTACTATGGCAGAGAGTTTGTTTGGGTGATCATATGCCACGTTTCCCACAGGACCATGCCTCGTTCTGTGCACGGCTTTCCTAGCTATGGAGATGGAATTTCCTAGCATTTATTTTGAAAAAAGAAAAATTGAGGGAAAAATCCATTCATATGCAACTGTAAGCATCTTTGCCTCAGTCACCAGCAGGGTTTGAACTGAGAATTTCTGGGTGCAGTGCAAACCTCTACCACTTCAGCTAACAGAGGAACTACGTCCGCTAACAGCAGTGGTAGGTTATATCCTCTGTCAAGAAGCCACTAGAGGAGGATGCAAAACACAATGGGTTATTTATACATGAGTAGCCTCACTTTACAGACAGCATGGCTAAGGCCAAAGATATGCAGGTTCTTTCTGCTAGGCAGCGTGGCTAAGGATCCGATTCTGTCACAAAGGTCACAGATTCTGTGACTTTAATGGACCTTAATGACTTCTTCGGTTTCAGCCGGCAGCAGCAGTGGGGCTGGAGCAACTGTCAGCCCCTGCCCAGGAGTAGCAGACTAGGGCAGGAGCTGTGGCGGGGCTGGGTCAGCCCCCGCTGCAGGTGCAGCCCCCAGAGCCAAAGCAGCAACTGGGCTGGGTCAGCCTCCATCACAGGAGCAGTGGCTGGGGCAGGAGCAGCGGCCAGCAGTCAGCCCCCGGCAGGGCTCTGACTTTTAGTGTCCCGTCCCCAGGTATTTTTAGTAAAGGTCAAGGACACATCACAGGCTTCCGTGACTTTTTGTTTGTTACCCACAACCTGTCTGTGACTTTTACTAAAAGTACTCCTGACAAAATCTTAACCTGAAGCAGCCGAGACTTGGGTCTGCTCCGTTACACGCTGTGTTACGCTCCCAGCTCTGCAAAGGAGCAGGCTGATACTGGCCTGCTTCCCAGTGTGGGGCAACGAGGCCTTGGTCAGCAGCAAGGGAGGTGCACGGAGTGAACAGCGCTCAGGAGAAGCAGTGAGGTAAGAACGCTCCTTCTCCTGGCTCCTTGCCAAGTGCTGCTTTCCGTAGGCCAGATGAGGGAGTATAGCAGGTGAAGGGTCCATTTTGTTTTTATGCGGGGCGCTGTTCTGTGGGCAATGCGGAGGGTTCAGCGGGGCGGGAGGAGCATGCTTAGTGCACATGGACAGCCCAGAAAAGGAAGGCGCAAGCCAACACCCAGCTGCACTGGACATGTGCTGTTGGGGACTGTCTGCTCTGCAGGTTAGAACTTGGCCACCTCTGACCGGGTTTTCCCAGAGACAGCGGAAGGTGCCTCCCTGACCCCCGGACTATCCTCTTGCCAACTTTCTAGTACCTGCTGCAGCCCCCGGAGGCACGAGAGCTCTGTAGAGAAATGGCTTTACCTGCTGGCAGCTGAGCTTGCTCTCCAGAAGAACCATTACGGAGACGCCTGAATGAGCCAGCCAGAAGCAGGCACTGACTTGGCAAATCTCAGCCCATACAGCTCAAGTCTGGGGAAGTCATTAGCAACGGGAAACTGGGGCTTATGGTGGGTCGTGTCAGGCAACCGTAACTCTAGGCAGCGCGGCCAGCCCCACTTGTACATGTGTGCTCTGCTGCTGGCAGAGAAAGGGCAGATCTTACACCCCATTGCCGGGATCCCAGGCAGCAGCTGTGGTCAAACCCAAAGCCAGACGCTTTCTCTCTTTCTGTGCATCAGGAGCTGTGTGACTGGTTGGGTGGCCCTTGGGAGGTTGGTGTGTGGGCTGGGAGAAGGGTCTCCTTCCCTGTGGGTCAGGCGGTGACTTGACAGCAGAGGTGTCCATCAAAGCAACGGGAGGTCGGGGGCTGGTAGAGGGGGGCTGGTGCTGGGCCTCCATGGTTGTAGTTGAAGCTGTTCCGTGGTACAAAGGGAAGCCCCCTTGCATTCAGCCACCCTCTCTTGAGCCAGCAGGGCTCCAGCATCTGCTCTTCGCTCCCATCCAGTTCCAGGATGCTCAGTGCTCCGCCTGGCGAACCATGGATGGCAAGCTGGGGGGTGCAGTGCCTGGGCCCTCTGAGGTGGGCCTTGCTGCCCCAGCAGTAAGTGCGTGTGTCACCCACACTGGCTTGGCTGATGTGCTGGCCCCATGTCGATTAGCACGGAGAGGGCAGGGCGCTTTCACACACATTTGTGTTGCAGGGCATCGTGGGGAACCTGTCCAGCGGCAAGTCGGCCTTGGTGCATCGCTACCTGACTGGCACGTACGTGCAGGAGGAGTCCCCAGAAGGTAAGGGCCTCTTGCCCTCCTGGGGGCTGTCCCCATGCTGAGCTCTGGGCAGGGGAAGATGGGCTCTGACTCCTAGTCCCTGGCTTAAGAAGTGACCCCCCAGCTAGACTTCTCTCTGGGCAATGCCAGCCTTACAGCTGCCTCCAGGAGCCTGCCCACCTGGCTGCCTTTCATCAGGTGTGTCCCTGGAGGTGTGCGCCCTGCATACCCCCCTCCCTCCCCCCGACCCTGGCTCAGTGCACTGCTTTGCCTTGTCCCCAGGTGGCCGGTTTAAGAAGGAGATCGTAGTGGATGGTCAGAGTTACCTGTTGCTGATTCGAGATGAAGGGGGCCCCCCCGAGCTCCAGGTAAGATCCCCCCTCTCCCCCGCACTAGTCCCGCCCCTTGAGAGCCCTGTGCAAGGAGTAGAGTGCTCCTGGGGAAGGAGTGGAGAGCTCCTGGGGAAGGAGAGAGGAGGCTGCTGGCCGTCAGTCCGGGAAGAGGCATCAGGGGTTTGTGTCTCACAACAGGGTTGGATGGGAGACCAGGAAGCGCTTAAAAACTGCAGGGAGTGGATGGTGGGGTCAGCACAGGGTGCTCTCCCCCCAATCAGTGCTGACCCCAGTGCGGTGTGAGGGGCGTGGGGCTGCAGAGAGCGGGGCAGGGGCTCAGTGGGGCAGGTGCGGGGCTGCAGAGAGCAGGGCAGGGGCTCAGTGGGACGGGTGCTGGGCTGCAGGGCATGGGGCAGGAGCTCAGTGGGGCAGGTGCGGGGCTGCAGAGAGTGGGGCAGGGGCTCAGTGGGGCAGGTGCGGGGCTGCAGAGAGTGGGGCAGGGGCTCAGTGGGGCAGGTGCGGGGCTGCAGAGAGCAGGGCAGGGGCGCAGTGGGGTGGGCGCTGGGCTGCAGAGAGCGGGGCAGGGGCGCAGTGGGGCAGGCCCGGGGCTGCAGAGAGCAGGGCAGGGGCGCAGTGGGGCAGGCCCGGGGCTGCAGAGAGCGGGGCAGGGGCTCAGTGGGGCAGGCCCGGGGCTGCAGAGAGCGGGGCAGGGGCTCAGCGGGGCAGGCCCGGGGCTGCAGAGAGCGGGGCAGGGGCTCAGCGGGGCAGGCCCGGGGCTGCAGAGAGCGGGGCAGGGGCTCAGCGGGGCAGGCGCGGGGCTGCAGAGAGCGGGGCAGGGGCTCAGCGGGGCAGGCGCGGGGCTGCAGAGAGCGGGGCAGGGGCTCAGCGGGGCAGGCGCGGGGCTGCAGAGAGCGGGGCAGGGGCTCAGCGGGGCAGGCGCGGGGCTGCAGAGAGCGGGGCAGGGGCTCAGCGGGGCAGGCCCGGGGCTGCAGAGAGCGGGGCAGGGGCTCAGCGGGGCAGGTGCGGGGCTGTAGAGAGCGGGGGCGGGTGCGGGGCTGTAGAGAGCAGGGCAGGGGCGCAGTGGGGCAGGCCCGGGGCTGCAGAGAGCGGGGCAGGGGCTCAGCGGGGCAGGCCCGGGGCTGCAGAGTGCGGGGCAGGGGGCTCAGCGGGGCAGGCGCGGGGCTGCAGAGTGCGGGGCAGGGGCTCAGCGGGGCAGGCGCGGGGCTGCAGAGTGCGGGGCAGGGGCTCAGCGGGGCAGGCGCGGGGCTGCAGAGAGCGGGGCAGGGGCTCAGCGGGGCAGGCCCGGGGCTGCAGAGAGCGGGGCAGGGCGCAGTGGGGCGGGCCCGGGGCTGCAGAGAGCAGGGCAGGGGCTCAGCGGGGCAGGCCCGGGGCTGCAGAGAGCGGGGCAGGGGCGCAGTGGGGTGGGCGCTGGGCTGCAGAGAGCGGGGCAGGGCGCAGTGGGGCGGGCCCGGGGCTGCAGAGAGCGGGGCAGGGGTGCAGTGGGGCGGGCGCTGGGCTGACGACCGGTATCTCCCCCAGTTCGCCGCCTGGGTGGACGCCGTGGTGTTTGTCTTCAGCCTGGAGGACGAGATCAGCTTCCAGACGGTGTATAACTACTACCTGCGGCTCTCCAGCTACCGCAGCACGGCCGAGGTGCCCATGGTCCTGGTGGGGACGCAAGGTGAGAGGGACCCAGGGCGAGCGCTGCCAGGACACCCCGGCATGCCAGGGCTGGCCGTGCCTGTAAGGGGCTCACAGGGACTCCGTGTGGGGCCTGGGCTTTCACTTCTGGGAGGGCCAGTCGCTCCCCCAACAAGTCTCTCCTGCGCTGGGGTGGCAAGCCCCTCCGGGAACATCAGACACCATGGCACACGGTGCCAGCTGTTGCCTCTCCCTCCCACGCCCCCCCGGGCACCCTGAGGCGTCCCGGCACCTCCCCCACCCCCACTCTGGGCCACCCTGAGGCGTCCCGGCACCTCTCCCCCCTCCCCCCGGGCACCCTGAGGCGTCCCAGCACCTCCCCCCCCTCCCCCCGGGCACCCTGAGGCGTCCCAGCACCTCCCCCCCTCCCCCCGGGCACCCTGAGGCGTCCCAGCACCTCCCCCCTCCCCCGGGCACCCTGAGGCGTCCCAGCACCTCCCCCCCTCCCCCCGGGCACCCTGAGGCGTCCCAGCACCTCCCCCCTCCCCCGGGCACCCTGAGGAGTCCCAGCACCTCCCCCCCTCCTCCCCCGGGCACCCTGAGGAGTCCCGGCACCTCCCCCCACCCCCACTCTGGGCCACCCTGAGGCGTCCTGGCACCTCCCCCCCACCCCATCCCAACTCTGGGTCCCCCTGAGGTGTCCTGGCACCTCCCCCCCACACCACCCCAAACCATGGCCCCCCTGACGCATCCCAGTACCCCTTGCAGGAGGTTGGCGTCGGGCAGAGGGTGGAGAGGGGGTCTCAGGGCTGCACCCAGGGGCTTGCCTAGGATCTCAGCCCAAGCAGGCCCGCATGGCCCAGCAAAGGCCGGTGTGATAGGCGGATGAATCTCTCGGGGCCCTGGGCAGAGACTGAAGGCGGTGGGGGTGGAGAAACTTCTCCAGGTCCTGCCAGTGCCAGGTGCAGAGGAGGAGATGAGTCTTGACGGACCTGCCCAGGCTGGCAGAGTGGGCTCAGGGGAAGGTGACTGGGTGCATGGGGGCTCCCGTGGGCCGGGCTGGCCAGGGGATTTGAGCCGGGAGGCGCTTTCCCGTCGGTGAGAATCGGGGGCACAAGGCAGAAGCTGGCCGTTCTGCAGCAGAAGGGGGCGAACGAGGAGCCTGGGGTACGTCCGTGCTAGCCTGCAGCTGGCAGCCCGCGTCCCAGCCTGGCAGCGGGCCTGACGCTCGCGGGCTCCAGGGATCCTGTGGGCATGGCGGCTCAGGCTGCGGCGTGGGCTCTCAAGCCTTGGTGGTAGCAACGCCTCTCAGACTGCAGTGGCCTAGAGCTGGCGTTAGTGTGACTGCCTCTGCCTCACACAGGATGCTTCACGCAGCCATGAGGCCAGGTCCCGCCTTGCAGGGGTCCCACACTGTCACGGAGTCCCTGGGCGATGCTCTGGAACTGCTCCCCATGAAGTCAGTCAGGACTCTGGGGTAGTCGCCTTTCTGTGAGCAGCCTGTCTTCAGGACACACAGCTCACTCAGCTTCCACCTTCCTGGGTCTGACCTCGGAGCATTCAGCATCCTCTGCCCCTCTGTGCGCTTCCCACAGCGAGTCCGCCCAGGCGGGCTCCTGGGGAAGCCAGAGGGTCCTGCACCCCAACTTTGCAGTCAGACGTGACTCTCAGCCAGCCAGTAAAAGAGAAGGTTTATTAGACGACAGGAACATGGTCTAAAACAGAGCTTGCAGGTGCAGAGAATGGGACCCCTCAGCTGGGTCCATTCTGGGGGGCAGTGAGCCAGACAACCACGTCTGCACTTCACTCCATGTCCCAGCCAGCCCCAAACTGAAAACCCCCTCCAGCCCCTCCTCCTCTGGGCTTTGTTCCTTTCCCGGGCCAGGAGGTCACCTGATTCCTTTGTTCTCCAACCCTTTAGCTCTCACCTTGCAGGGGGGAAGGGCCCAGGCCATCAGTTGCCAGGAAACAGGGTGTCGGCCATTCTCTGTGTCCAGACTCCTGCACACACCTGCCCTCTAGGGCTCTGCAATGATCATACACCCTTACCCCACCCCCTAGATACTTAAGAACTGCCTAGGGGAAACTGAGGCACCCCCACACTATTCAGAGGAAACATTAAGAACAGTCCCACTTCGTCACACACACACATTAGCCAGCACACATGCCGGGCAGGAGGATGGAGGCGGGAGGGGTGGAGGACTTCGGCATGGACAAGCCTTTGATGTGTGCCTTTGACCGTGGAGAGAAGGGCAGGGGCGGGTGGGGAGTGGGATTGCCAGGGGCCGGGGGGGTTGTTCCAGGCATGGGAGTGGCAGTGGGGTGTGTAGCAGAGCCCAGTGCTTGCTCTTGCTGGCTTAGCCCACCCTCCTCAAGTTCCCCATGAAGGAGGGGAGTACAGAAATTCCTAGGGTTAGGCGACAAGGAATTAAAGCTAGAGGAGAATCGTCAGTGGTGTCTGCAGGGTGGGGAACACAGCAGGACGGTACCTTCCGGACCCAAGGCCTCGGGCCCCCGGAGGGGGTTGTGGAACCAGGGGATCTGGAGGCAGGCGTGGTGGGGAGGACGAGGGCTGCCAGGTTTCCAGTGACGTGCTGTGGAACCCGGCTATCTCAGCCCGGGACAGAAGGGGCCTGGGCTTTGGAGCTGGTTATCCCAGCCCTGCTTGGGGCTGGAGGGACCCTGGGAATGTGCTGGGACCCTGGTATTTTGGGGGGCTCCAGGGTGGGATGGGGGCATGGAAACCTGTTTTCTAATTCTTCCTCTCTTTGGTTTCCAGACGCGATCAGTGCCACGAATCCCCGTGTCATCGATGACTCTCGGGCCCGCAAACTCTCCAACGATCTGAAGCGTTGCACGTACTACGAGACCTGCTCCACCTATGGCCTGAACGTCGAGAGAGTCTTCCAGGATGGTAACTGCAGCCCTGGGGCGGAGCCACGCAGCGCCCGTCCCTGCCCCCTCGCTCTCCGGCCGATATGGGGCTCTGGCACCTGCAGCCCCAGATACCTGTGACTGGCTCGCTGGAGTGCTTGTCTCTCCCAGAGGGCCTGTGTTAGGCAAAGGGAGTGCGAGGCTGGAGAAATGGGTGACTGCAAATGTCCTGGGAGGCAGGGAGGAAGTCCAGTCGAATCCTTTGTATCTAGACATGCTGTGGGGCGGGGAGCAGCCAAACTGCTGGCCGGAGAAGCTGCCCCGAGTAAGGGAACAGAGCACGGAAACAGCTGGGGTAGAAAGCTGCTGCTGTTGCTTGCACGGAGCAGGGGGTCCAGGGGCTTGCAGCCGGACCCTGCCTTGGGAGAGACGCTGCAAAGGCTGCTCTCCCTTCCCACCCCGTCTCTCCAGGGTGAGCTTGGCCGCGAGCCCAGCGGGACAGCCTGCACAGGGCTGTGTGGCCGGATGGATTGGAGCTGCGTGCAGGGGAATGGGAGGAGGAGAACTGTGCCCCCAAAGGAAGAGGCTGCAGGCCTAGAGGGTGGCATGGAAGGAGGTTTGGAAAGGACAGTGCACTGCTGACATGGGAGAGGCTTGTTGGAGCAAGGGGCAGCTGAAGTGGAGCTGCAGGGAACACAATGGTGCAACGCAATCCTCTGCAGCCGAGCTTGATTTCTTTCTTGCTTGGTCCTAGAAGAGGGAAGCGTGGTCTAATGGGCAGGGCCCCGGCTGACTCTGCCACTGACTGTGGGTGAGTCCTTCCCCTTTTGTAAGATAGGTAATGGTCTTGCTCCCCCTCTGCAAAGCCTCCGGGGCTCCAGGGAAAGGGCTATCCAAGAGCTGAGGGTTAGGGGATTCACCTTCTCGGCGACAGGACCCATTGAAGTAAGAGAAGGAAGTGTAGCAGTGGTAACCCTGATATTGAATCGTGCGCCTTTGGGAGGCTGGCAGGGAATACTTGGCCTTGACAGGCCATGTGTGCCGGGAGGGGAGGAGCCAGATTTTCTTTGCTTTAGATGGTAATCAAGTGTTCAGTGCTTTAGGACTCCTGGGGGGTGCTGACACCCCCACCCCCCCCGGGAAACACTGCTCCTGGCCGTACTGCTTCACTGCCATTAGGCTAAATGACTTCCTACCGAGGGGTTGTCCAGGTACGTGGGATGGACTGACCTAGAGAGACCACGATGTGGCCAAGAGGGGGTGGCAGAAGTGATGGCTCTAAAATGGCTGGGATCCAGAGCCAGCTGTCAAGGGAAGGTCTGGACAGTTACGTTGTAGTGGAGACCTGGATGAAACCTGGATAAAGGGTCCTCTGACGACACAGGCCAGTGGGCCTGGGCAAGGTGTGTTCTGGGAGATTATGGGAACTGGCGAACTGAATTTACCAGACACTGCCAATTCGTGCACTTGGGACTCACTAGTGTGCACCCCAGCTTCAGCTCCGGGTGAAGTGTCCATGCCAGCTGGCACCTGCCTGCATGTCTCACCCTCTCTCTAGAACAGTGGGAGAGACTAGGTGTGAGCCCCTGGAGCGTGAGCAGGGGAGATCTGGCCAGACAAACTAAGTTGTTTCTGGACAGGATCCAGAGGGAAGCAGGTTCCTGGGAAGTGTCTGGTACCTGGTGTCACTAAATCGGACTTGGAAATTCATTGAAATCAGCTGGGGGATGGCCCTCTATCTTGGGCCGGGGCTGGCCGCAGGGCAGTTCAGCAGATACGGATCCGCAACAAAGGGGTGAGTTGAAGAAGGTGTCCAGTGTGGGACACAGGGCTGCCAGCCCAGCACAGACACTGACTGCCTTTGAGCAAGTTGCTTCACCTCTCAGCCTGTGAAGTGGGGCCCATGACCCTAAGCTCCCTCCTGGGGCTGTGAGGACTTGGGGGCAGTGTTGGCAAAGTGCTGGGGCCGGGTTTTCAGTCGTGATCTGGAAGGACGCTGCGAGGTGTTGGTCAGCCGGGAGGAGCAGCAAACTCAGTGAAGCCCAGGAAGTGATCCAGAGGGGGTGAGATGCCTTGGAAGGAAATAGCAGAATGGAGCGTGGAGAGTGCTGGGTTGTAGCGAGGGTTGGGGCTCCTGGTGCTTCAGTCCTGATGCAGGCTAACCGTGCTGAGCGCGGCTGTCTGTGACTCCATGCCTACGGCCCCCACGGGTGCCTGGGCATCACCTGCATGAGGGCTCCCAGCCGTGGAGCTGAGCTGGTGACCGCAGCGCTAGGACAGCTGAGCCAGAACGTGCAGTAATGCCCCGGGGCACATGGCTGTGGGCAGGGAGTGAGTGGGACAGACAGCAGAGGAGCAGGCCTGGTGAAGCGTTACCGACACTAGAGAGGTGACACTAACCACTGTGTGCTCGCACTAGCATACCCGGAGCACACTTGTCTACACGTTGCACAGCGAGATCACACTCCCTTGGAGTTAGATTTGCTTCCCCTTCCACCAGTGCAGGGCCGGGATGGAAGGGGATCACGGGTCTCATAGCCCCGGGGTGCAAACTGTCCTCCCACTACCATCCCATGGTGCACTGGCCAGGCCTGCCTAGCTCCGTTGGTAGCCAATGTCTGCTAGGGATAAACAAGTTCAGATCAGCAGGCCCAGATAACAGGCACCCAGCAGTCCCACCAGAGCTGGCTGAGGAGATCTCTGGCCCACAGTTGATAGTTTTTAACAAATCTTAGAATGCTGGGGACGTTCCAGGAGACTGGAGGAGTATCACTGTTGTGCCAATATTCAGAAAGGCAAGAGGGATGATATGGGCCCATTAGCCTGGCACCCGTCCTGGAGAAAGTGAGAGAGGATTCGTTGGATAAATCGAAGGAATATCATTAATGCCAGTCGAGATGGGTTTATGGAAAACAGGTCTCCTCAAACACACCTGGTGTCATTCTAGGATGAGATTCCAAGATTGCTTGAGAAAGGTGATTGTGTAAGTACGAGACTTGGCATCTGCAAGGCGGCTGACGTAAAGCTTTGTCTCCACTGACAAGCTGCCCTGGTGCAGCTCCGCCCCGTCACGCTTAATGAAGATGCTCCTCCGCCGACGGGTGAGGGGTTGGCGTAGGTGTCCCACCTCCCCGAGAGGCGGCAGCTAGGTGGGCAGGAGAAGCGCTCCCATCGAGATCCTGATAAGCGCCTTGTGATGTAGCTCTACCGACATAAGCAGGTAGCGCAGAGCAGGGCTTAGGGCTTGTCCCTGCGGAGGCTGTAGTGTAGACGTAGCCTAGGCTGGCATAACCGATGTCGCTGGGGTGTGACTAAGCCGCCCCCTGAGCGACGTGAGTTACACCACCAGAAGTGCCGGTGTGCACGGTGCTGTCAGCAAGAGAGCTTCTCCCGCCAGCACAGCTCCGGCTGCTCGCGGAGCTCTCCCGTCGGCATCGCGTGTTTTCGCCAGATGCGCCGAAGGGTGTACGTGCAGACAGGCCTTCAGTGCGCAGCACGCTGGGTGTAAATCTAGAGAAGCCTCGCCTGCTGCCCAGCGCCCTCTCCGTCCCCGAGGGCTGACGCGGCAGTAGGTCAGAGCGCACGCCAGCCCCAGCACTGAACGGCAGCAGGGCCTGCTTGGCCGGTTAGCGTGCGCCAGGCTAGTCTGCTGTAGGCTGACACTCCAGCCTGCCGCACGCCGCGTCTCCATGTGGAGCAGCCCCTCGTGCCTCTTGTATGGGTTTAGATGGACTATGTGGGCCGAACATACGAATGGCCACACTGGGTCAGACCAAAGGTCCATCTAGCCCAGTCTCCTGTCTTCCGACAGTGGCCAGTGCCAGGTGCCCCAGAGGAGTGAACAGAACAGGGAATCATCCAGTGATCCATTCCCAGTTTCTGGCAAACCGAGGCTTGGGACACAGTGTAAGGTGTAAGCATGACCCAGTCGCTGTCCAATATTAAACAGCTTTAAACGAGGTTTGAGGTTTGGTATCCAGAGACCGCAGCCTGCTTAGCACCATGGCAAACACTCCATTAAAAACTCCTGTTAACCTTGTATTAAAGCCACAGAAAAGAAGGAATAATAGTTACAGCACCCAAAATGTTAAGTATTAACTCAGGCTCTCATTTTAACAACATTCCTTGTCCCTTTCCCTTTAGCTGGGGGGAGATTTTAGAGGGAATCCTTGTTTGACCGTCGCTGGGATGGTATCACAGAAGGTAATGACGGAACACAGACGTAGTTAGATAGATGAGCTGGAGCAGTGGTTGTTGCTAAAGTCTGATCCCATTTCCTAGAAGACAAAACAAGGCAAACACCCACGAAAGGGGAGAGAAAAGAAAACAGAGAGAAAATGCAGCTTCTGAGTTAGCTGTCGACTTTCACTTGCACCCTCCTCCTGCTGGAGAAACGGGCCAGTGCGTGGTCTGATCAGCCACTCCGAGGCCTTGCAAACTTGTACCAGGAACAGGCTGTCAGGCCATTGCTTTTAGCTGCCTCTTTCAGGTCTCAGGCTGTGGCCGTGTTGCAAAATACCCCATTTTGGCTGGCCAAGCCAGACTCCTGTGAGACAGAAGGAAAAAGGAGAGGGCTTTGAAAAAGGAGTGAGGTTGGGAAGGGGAAGGACATGTGGGGGATGGGGGGGAAAGAGCCCAAGTCTCACATCACAGGTGGCATTTGGGAATAGCTGGCGCTGGGGTCATCCGGCTCCCTCTCTGTGGCCCAGTCTGGCCAGCACATCTCTCAGGATTAGGATGAAGATGGTCTGGGGTCCCAGCAGAGGGTGGGGGAGGCAGTCGTGAGGATGAAGCATGCTCCAGTCGCCAATTTCCCCCCCAAAGTCTCTTTCATTAAGGGCCTGAAAAGGAGGCGGTGGGTGGAATAGCCCGTCCTCTCATTGTTTTGTCCATCAGCTGGGCCTAATTGCTGACATGCCAATTTTGGTTCACTGATTTTTGGTCTCATGCAGTCTTGTTTACCAGACATGTTTTTAACATAGTCCTTGAGTTATGTCAGCAGGCTTTTTGTATGGACTAATTCAGTTTTTCTGTCTCCCT